TAATATAGGTAGGATTCTCTCATTTTGTCAAGTTCAGACAATAATTCTAAATTCTAATATGTTTATTATTGCAACATTATTATATCACTATATATATATATTTTCTAATAGTTCAGGATTCTTTACTTTATCAGCTCTACACCTAACTTTGTGAAGGTCAGACTATTTCAATTATAATATTTTTATAAAGCACTTCGATTCTTGAATAATTTTTTTTAAAGCGGGTGGGTTGCGCTGTGAAATTTTCAGATTGGGTTGAGTTGGTTACCAATTTAACCACCGAACTAAAATAAAAAGTTGGGTTGTGCTATGAAAATTTTCGAATTGGATTGGGTTACCGAATCACATGAATTTTGGGTTGGTAAAAAAAAATTTGTGAAGGAGGCAACAAACAAGGGAGAAGAGGGCAAGGAACAACGTGGGGGCAAGCCTTGATGAATCATAAGAAAACAAAGCTTTCCAATGGCTACTTTCCAATACAAAAAAATGAACCACCACCTTTTTGCTATGAATATTGATCCGAAAAGTCACATGGTTACCGCGATCTTCTCTCAAATTCAAACTCCCTTTACGAACTCCCCACAGATTAACCTATTTCTCAGCTCCCCCACTCACCTCATCGCTCTTAAACAACAGATTCTTTTGTGGGTTTTCCAAATAATACTAATTTCCACACACCCTCCTTAACATTCTCGCCCTCCCATTTGGTTTTTGTTCCATCTCCTTATAATATTCCCCTTCAACACCACTTTCTTGCTTGTTCCTGTTCCTGGGTCCGTCCGTTTTTATCACTTTTTTGAAGGGCTTCTTGGATTCTACTTTCATTGCTTCTTTGTTCTTTTAGATTTGTGCAATACCTGTTCGTTTGACGGCTCTTGATTTCTGTGATCTTTGAGTTCTTGTTTTTGTACCCTTTTCTTTGTTTTGTTCATCTTATTGATCGAACCCAGAAGATCGATTGTTGATTTGTTGGGTTTTTCATTGGAAATTCGTGATACCCATCTGGATTTCTACCATGATCTGCGCGGTGAAACAATCTCCTAGGGCTATCATTTGCTCTGATGTTGTTATTCGGCCCAAAATCTCCGTTCCCTCTCAGCGATCCTCGTTTCTTCCTCCACTTCCGCTACAAAAACCTCGAAACTCCGCTGTTTCTGTTCATAAACCTGTACATGTTTCATCGCTTGAGAAATTTGGATCACTGGGGGTTCGTAAAGCTAATTTGATCAAATGCGAAGCTTACGAGGCTGAGCGATCGCAGCCGATCGATTCGAGCTTTGAGTTGCCGCAGACTCCGACCCCTTCAGAGGCCGCTAAGAAGTTGAAAATAGGATCATACTTCGCTCTATGGTGGGCTTTGAACGTGGTTTTCAATATCTATAACAAGAAGGTTTTGAACGCTTACCCGTTTCCATGGCTGACTTCGACTCTGTCCCTCGCCGCTGGATCTCTGATCATGTTGATCTCATGGATGACAAGAATTGCAGAGGCGCCTAAAACCGATTTGGAGTTTTGGAAGTCTTTGTTCCCTGTAAGTTGAACTAAGTTTTGTTTGGTTTGTGATGTGAAACCTTTGATAAAGAAGACAAAAGGGATAGAAGTTTCTTATTTGTTATGTTGTGATGTTTGAATGAGTTAATCTCTCAGCCCCTGGATATCATTTCTTGGCTGAGGACAAGAAGATTTAGATAAACAAGGCAATTACAATGGAAGAACATATCTACCATAGTTGAAATTATCTGTATAACAAAGCAATTACAATGGAAGAACATATCTACCATAGTTGAGATTCTTCTGAGTTGTTTGTTTTCGATAATCATAACGTTTGTATCTGTCGATGTTGATGTTGTTGTTGTTGTTTGTTTTAAGGTTGCTATTGCCCATACAATTGGACATGTTGCAGCGACCGTGAGTATGTCAAAGGTTGCTGTTTCATTCACTCACATCATCAAGAGTGGTGAACCTGCTTTTAGTGTATTGGTTTCGAGGTTCTTGTTGGGCGAGACCTTCCCGCTTCCTGTCTACTTGTCGCTCCTCCCAATTATCGGTGGATGCGCTCTTGCTGCTGTGACTGAGCTCAACTTTAACATGACGGGTAACAAAATTCAACATCTCATTATCAAAAGTATACTTGTTATGTGTAGTTTTAGTAAGTTTGATATCTAATATCACATTAACAACGCACTCGTGCTTGAAGTTTGAGTTTGTATCAAACGCATATAATCGTGTTTCGAATGTTTCATCGTTTGGGCTGCTTTCTTTCCTTGGAGTTGTGTAATTTTGTTCTTATGGTTTGATCCCTTCAGGTTTCATGGGTGCCATGATATCGAACTTGGCATTCGTATTCCGTAACATATTTTCGAAGAGGGGCATGAAGGGAAAATCCGTTAGCGGGATGAACTACTATGCATGTTTATCGATTTTATCTTTGCTAATCCTTACACCATTTGCATTTGCTGTGGAGGGGCCTCAGTTATGGGCTGCTGGATGGAAAACAGCCATATCTCAAATCGGACCTCATTTTGTTTGGTAATTCGGTTTACTTATTTATTCGTTGTCGTCGTTCGGGAAGTTATGCACTAACAGTTGATCTAATTTGTTCATATTTTCTCCATATCTAATTGCCCGTACGATGAATCTTCGATTTGGTTAAAGTAATATATTAGAATGATATGATTGAGCTGTTCTTGATCAAAGGAAACCATACTGATTAATTCTGGGAATGTCTTGCTTATGTGGTTTAGTTCTTTGTCAATTTCGTGCACGGGAACGTCCTGATGGTAGTTCGAACAATAATTTGTTGAATACCTAACTAGATTAAACCAGAGACCACTACTTGCGAGTTTCATGATAAGCTTGGCAATTTTTCGACTCCTTAGCGAGTTTCATGATGTTCTTGACATGATCGATTCTCGTCTTGGTTTCTCGAGTATTAACTTAATGCTTATTTTTTGTTGTATTGCATGATGTTATTGTTTTGATTGTCTTCTGTTTACTTAATTTTGTAATTGAATGAAATATAGGTGGGTAGCAGCACAAAGTATATTCTACCATCTCTATAACCAAGTGTCTTACATGTCCTTGGACGAGATTTCTCCCTTGACGTTCAGCGTCGGAAACACCATGAAACGTATATCTGTCATCGTTTCTTCCATCATCATCTTCCACACGCCTGTGCAGCCAGTGAATGCTCTCGGAGCTGCCATTGCGATTCTCGGAACCTTTATATACTCGCAGGTGAGTCGGTTTGCTCCTCCTTGATTACTCTTCCTTGGTAAATCTATGAGTTCATCATAAAATAGTTTGGGGCTTGAAGATAATGGATTGGTCCATACTTATTGTGTTAGGATAAGATAAGGTTTTTGTGTTCACGAAAAGAAGATATTAGAACGTATAATTTATCGAACTGGACGTTTGTGTTCGCTTAAACTTCTCGGAAATCTTTGATCGATTCTTTTCATCTGCATCAAAGCTGTGGAGTATGCCACAATGAGCTGACTGACCAAATGGTTTCGTGTGTTTGCAGGCAAAGCAATGAGGAGAGAAAAGGAAAGAACCACGGACTTAGGTTTACGATAGCGTATCGAAGAGGGTGGTGTGTGTCTCATATTACCTTCGAGGCGAGAAAATAAAATGAATAAAGGGAAAGAGAGAGCCAAAGAGGAGGTTCGTTTCGGAACGTATAAGACCGCAAGAAGAAGCTTTTTTTTTTTTGGTGTAGATATGAATAAGGGGTTTAGGATTATTAAGCATTTTGTTGGAGAAGATGAGGGGAGGGGAATGGATAGGGGAGAGGGGAAATGGTTTGTAATAGAGAATAATGACAAGACAATTGCTTGTCTTGTCTTTTTAGTTCATTATGAATCATAAGTTATTTCTTCTTTTGCTTTAAAGATTCACATGGTGTGTTGTGTTCACAAAGCATCTTCTTTGGATTATTCCCTTCCACTTGCCCACTGCCTTGCAGGTGTGTATCTCATAATTAGCCTTGGCTGTGCCCCTTTTCGAGCTCGATATTTAGGTAGCTTAGTCTTACGACGACTTGGTTATTTTAGTATCAGTTATTTGTTGCATGACTCATTCTAACGTTGTTGTTGTTACTCGCTCGGTCTATGAAAGATTTTGGTTAAAATATTAGATAAAACAAAGTAGACTTGTAATGTTAGAGGGTAAAAAGCAAGATCCGAAAAGAAAGAGCTCTTTGGGCATGGCCAGCTCTCATAGTGTGACAGGCAATGTGTACAAGGCTCGGGAACGAATTCACTGTCATATGGTTGACCGGCGATTACTAGTGATTCTCACTTCATGCAAGCGAGTTGCAACATACCATTCGAATGCCGGATGAAAAAAATGGGATCACTTATGGACTCGTTGTTGAGAATGATTTTGATCTAGTTCATGGCCTATTAGAAGTAAAAGGTGCTCTGTTGGGATTAAGATCCTCACAGGTAGAAAAAGATTATTTAATAATGATCGAGTGATATTGTTTCTTCGGCCCTAAGGATGGGTTTTTAGAGTTAGCTCACCCTCTTGGATCACAACCCTTTCCCGGCCATTGTAGCACATGTCGCCCAAGACATAAGGGGCATGATGACTTGACGTCATCCTCACCTTCCTCTGAGTTATCACCGGCAGTCTGCTCAAGGTTCCAACCTCAACGGTTGGCAACTGAACACGAGGGTTGCGCTCGTTGCGGAACTTAACCCAACAACTTACGGCACAAGCTAACGACAGCCTAAGAAACCCATAAAATAGGTTGTCCTAAGGCATAAGTGAAATAAGGAAGCGGAGTGAAAAGATCATGTGCAAGAGCTGTTAGGAACAGTGCCCTCAAGCTTTCTTCAGAATAATCTCGATCATCCGCTGCAACTGTCTTTATCCTAATTTCTTACTTTATTTACTCCTATTTTTTCCGAAGCTCGCCTAATTTTGAACGACAAAGACCAACTAGAAACCAAGTTCAAACATCAAGAGATCAAACATGTCAGTGTAGATGAGGATCATAACAAAGCACAATCTTTATACAGCATAGTGATCCAAACACAAACACAGACTAGTGTTTATTAAAACTGCATAGGCAAGTGTCTAATAAGATCCAGAAATAGTAAAATCTATATATATATCCTCACAAGAGCTCTCGGATTTGTTTTCTTTTGCCAGAATCTGTATCTAAATCCAAACTTGTATGGAAACTACGGCATTTAAGGTATGCTTTATTGTCTTCAAGCTCAGATCTCATATTGGAAAGCAACTCAATTAAGACTTAAGCTTCTACCAAGAAAGGAAGATGATGGATAACCTTTAGTTTTGCTACTACTGGCAGCAACATTGTTATATATCAAACTTGCAAATACTTGATCGCTGTGTGAACATCCTTATCACCTCTGCCACTGCAGTTAAGCACGACCTTTGTTCCGTCCGCTAGGGTCGGGCACAGCTTCTCGAGATAAGCCAGAGCATGAGATGTCTCCAGAGCTGGGATTATGCCCTCCAACCGTGACAATCTCTTGAATGCTGCAGTCACAAGCCAGATTGTGAATTTAATATCTCTAATGATCAGGAGAACAATAGTCGAAAGCGAGATTGACAACCGTTGACATATTGGCACAAATGTTATTGGAAACTTTATGAAAGAACAGATAATTTCTCATCAGAAAAACCTTAAAATGAACCAAGATATTTGGTCTTGAGCATATGCCGAACCACGGTTCACAAAACTGAGCCCGAAAAGAAAGAAACATATTGAACAGAGCAGAGAAAAGTGATTGTAATTGATGAGTATCGATACGTTTATCTAAAGGCATAGTGTAGTTTCAAGAATAAAAGGCGAACTTTACAATATATGGGTGACATATCTAACAAAAAAAAATACCCAGAAACGAATAATGGCAATCCAGTACCTTCCAGTGCTTCGTCATCAGTGACACTGTAGTACTCGGCACGACCTGCATCTTTCAAATAACTATGCTCTGGTCCAACCCCAGGGTAATCCAAACTGCAGACGACAAAGAAGAAAACATGCATTAAACTAGAAAGGAGCAAGCTGGAACAAAAGGCTAACCTCCTCATAGTGAGAAGATTGCGAGAAGATTGCGTATATCCCCTACCCTGCACTGATCGAATGAGGTTCAATTATTTGTCCATCGTCATCCTGTAGTAAATAACTCATGGCTCCATGTAGAACTCCGATTTCCCCTTTGGTCAGAGTTGCTGCATGCTTACCACTATCCACGCCAAAACCTGCAGCCTCGACACCAACCAACCTAACATCTTCGTCATTAACAAACTCATGAAATAGTCCCATAGCGTTCGAACCTCCTCCAACACAGGCCACTAGAACATCAGGCTTCCCTCCCCACTTCTCCAAAGCCTGTTTTCTTGTTTCTTTACCAATCACTGCATGAAAATCTCTAACCATCATGGGATATGGATGGGGCCCAGCAACAGATCCCAAGATATAATGGGTAGTCTCTACATTAGTCACCCAATCCCTTATAGCTTCTGAAGTAGCATCTTTCAGTGTAGCAGTACCAGAATGAACTGGCCTAACCTGCAAGAGAAGCATTAATTTATAATTTGATTGATCATTTTCAGATGTAAAGAGCCAAGGACTGTCGACCAAACAAGAAAGAGAAGTTATTTAAATCCGATGAGGCAGTACTACAAGTATATGAGGCTTCAACAGGCACCCTGGATGGGTTCGAATGTGGGTTCGTTGTTAGGGTAGACCTTTTAATGCTAAACGTCATGAAAAGTCTTGGAAAAAATATAAACATTGTCACCATGTTGCAAAACTTTCTCTACCAACAATGATGGAAAGCTTAGGCAACAAATTACGGTACATGCCGCACAGCTTCCTCGACTAAATTAGATGCACTTCAAATCAAATTCATACTAAGGATGTGAGTCGGGGAAAGTTTGATTCATTGGTTAAGGGAGTGATAACAAGCAATGAAATCAGAGAAAAACTAGAGGGATACAAAATAGGCACGGGACACAGACGTCTCGAGGACCTTAATTCTTCAACAGAACTACAATATTCACAGTTTTGAAGGTGCAAATTGATCATAACAGTTTCGATGATGAAATCAGAGTCCTCCAAATCAAAGGCTGCAAATTAATAATGGAAAAAAACAACAAAAATTGTAACGGACAAACCTCGGCCCCAAGAAGCCGCATTCTGAACACATTGAGAGCTTGTCTTTCCATGTCTTGTGCGCCCATGTAGATGATACATTCTAGTCCAAACCTAGCACAAACTGTAGCAGTTGCAACACCATGCTGACCTGCACCTGTTTCAGCTATAATCCGTTTCTTTCCCAAACGCTTAGCAAGCAAAGCTTGAGCAACGGCGTTATTAATCTTGTGAGCCCCTGTGTGGTTAAGATCTTCTCTCTTCAAGAAAATATGAGGCCCCTCGCCATTGGGACGTCTATAGTGCTCAGTCAACCTCTCTGCAAAGTATAGAGGGCTCGCTCTCCCGACGTAGTCTCTCAAAATACCATCCAGCTCTTTCTGATGATCAAAAAGAGAAGGTAAAAAAGAATAAATAATCTTTTGTTAGACATCCTATTAAAAAAAACTACTGAGTTTCTAAACATGGAATTAATAACTATCTCTAAGCCTTCTCTTCCAAAATAATATCCACATACGTGATGATTTGACATGAAAAAGTTCTTCACAACGAAAAGTTCCAATTCCTTAAGTTTATCAAAGAGTTAAACATAAATCAACACAATAGTTAAGAAAGAATCATGCTAATCTTCGAGCACATTGTTCCCTTTTTCCTTGTCAAAATCCACATTGATTCTAAAACCCACACTACGTAGAAGCAACCTCCTGTTTGTCAATAAATACATTTCATTCCCAGAAAATATTAGTTAATTGAAGAATCATTTTCATTCAGATCTACCAAACACGAATTCAACTAAACTCAAACAACAAGCACTTACAAGATTCTCAATCCACAGACGAATAAACTCCATTTCATCAATTATCCCTCAAGCAACAAATAGAGTCCAATGAACTCCATCCCAGAAAAAGCAATCAATTATGAAATCATTATCACTTAAACCCATTCATCAAATAAGCATTCATGAGATTCAAAATCCTCAAACAACAATCAATTGGTTAAGTAAAACCAAACACAAAAAATCACTAAACAAGACTTCACCCATCATAACAAGTAAAACAAATAATCTTAAAAAAGAATACGGTTCACAAATCAAATCAAAACAAAATTCCCCAAAACCTGAAATTCTTGGTCTCCAGAAAGAGAATGGAAAGCGGTTTCGAGCTCGGAAAGAGCATGCATTAGGGTCTCCGGCACATACTTCCCCCCAAAACGCCCAAAACGCCCAAAGGAATCGGGTCTCTGCCCCAGACTCTGGGTTTTATTGTCCTCCATTGCTAGAGACGTCTCCCTAGTCAAAGTGCAGGTGACGGCACACGACCGGAAAACCGGAGATGAATTGAGCAAAAATCGCCGGGAATGAACCGGAAATCGAGAGAAAGAAGAAGAAATCTTGGAATTTGAATGAGAAGATGACGGCGGAATGGTGAGGATTTTGCAGCTAAGCTCCACAGAGGCAACCATTTCTAGAGGGAAAGAGGGCGAGAGAGAAAGAAAGAATGAGAGATTTGTGTTTTTATATTTTTACTTCGTTAGGTTTTTCCAAGAATTTATAGTACGGGAATTTTGTCCCAAAAATATATAATTTTTACCTTTTTTTAATTATTTAAAAAATATTTTTAAGCTTTTAAAATTTCATTAATAACCTTTTAAAAACTTTAAAATTATCTACAAATTTTTTTAATTAAAAAATATTCTTACTCGTTAGACGAACCCACAATTGTTCTCCTCCCCAACCAATATGGGACATCACAATCCACCCACCTTCGAGGTCTAACGTCCTCACTGGCACTCTTTCCTTCCTCCAATCGATGTGGGACCATCCCCAAATCCACCCCTTTGGGCCCAGCGTCCTTACTGGCACACCGCCTTGTGTCTGCCCCCTTCGAAAAACAGCGAGAAGGCTGACACATCGTCCGGTACTCTTTCCTTCCTCCAATTAATGTGGGACTGCCCCCAAATCCACCTCCCTTTGGGCCCAACGTCCTCACTGGCACACTGCCTCGTGTCTACCCCCTTTGGAGAATAACGAGAAGGCTGACACATCGTCCGGTGTCTGACTCTGATACCATGTTAAACAAACACGACTCTCCACAATGGTATGATATTGTCCACTTTTAGCATAAGCTCTCATGGCTTTTGCTTTGGGTTTCTCAAAAGACCTCATACGAATGAAGAGAGTATTCTTGATTATAAATGCATAATCATTCCCTAAATTAGCGAACGTGAGACTTTAATCCAACATTACTCATCATATTTCAAATATATTCATTAACTTTCAAAAATAAAAACAAAATATTAATGATTTTTATTTCAAATTAATTCGGTATATTTTAAATTTTTAAATCTCTTTTTAATTTTTTTCAAAAGTTTTTTCATATATTATTATAAAAAAAAACTTAAAAGTTTAATAATATTTTGGAGACAAATAAAAAATATTTTATTAATTTAGTGATGTAATTTAGTTTACTATTTTTATTTTTCTAAAATAATTTTGAGCAGTGCAATTTTTAAATATTTTTATCTAATTTAGCTCATTAAATTATTGGCATTTAAAATTTAAGTCTATGATAAAAGCTTCATCGGAACTCTATTAAGTAAATTAATAAAAAAAATTATTTTTACATCGAGAGTATCGACCTCGTTTAAATTATACTCAGGTATAAGTTTTTCGTTCCTTAAATTATATTAAAAATCAATTTAATCATAATTCAATTATTTAAAGTAATATTTTTTTTATAGAAAATCAATAGTATTAAGTCTTTTATTTTATTTATTGTTAAAATAATATATTTAAAAAGAAAGATAAAAAAAATTAAAAATAATATAAGGGGCTAAATACAAAAAAAATAATACAGTTTTGTTTCTTGTTTTTTGTGGTTGTCAATTTTCTTTTATTATTGTCTGCATCTTTGTCTTATTTCTTGTCCGTTTATAAACGACGTCGTTTAAGGCTTAGAAATATCAAATTTAGCTACAAAATTTAAATTCTTGGAAAATAAAATAATTACATTTGCTCTAAATAAACCCATATATATATATATATATATATATATATATATATATATATATATATATATAATTTGTCTCGTTTAGTTGTAAAGATGCTCGTAACGCTTTCTAAAACTTTTAAAAATTCATGATCCGCTCTTCTAGATTCTTCGAGAATTTATTAAGTTTAAATTGTTAAGGTATTCCCTCGACCATAAATTTTAATGCTTATTAGGGATCACTATTCAATTTTATTACAGAGTAATAATTAATGTGAGGTATGAAAATTTAAACTTTGGACTTTAGCTAGTAAAAAGAAAATCTTTATTAAGTTATTTTTAAATAAATTTGCTACTACATTTACAGATCTAATAGGTATAGAAATCCATTTAAAAACATATACGCGTAAACGATGTCATGGATTTAAGGGCTACAACAACATCGTTATCTACATAAAGGCGTTTTACCTTTACTTTTAAAAAGAAGTAGCACGTGGTTTGAGTATTTAAAAATAGTCTGGAAATGCAATCATATTGAGACATATCCTTTCACAAAACATCACGGTCTTAGTCTCGCCTTTCTGATCCGAGCCAAATTGAATGCGTAATACTTCTCTACACACGACTCATGCACGTGTACATGGACCTACAGGCAGACTCTTATGCGTACCCCTAGACCTAGCCTTCAACCCACTCACACGCCCGAAAAATCCACGGGGGAAAGTTGCAGGCATAATATCATAGTGTACAACGTTCATACTAATCCTACTAGGGAAGTATCCTGATGTACACGTGCATGAAGTTCTCATAACTTTAAACCATGACATATACGTATGATGCAAGTCATATATTCATTCTTTTCATAAACATAACTTTCATGAATAACATACGTGACTCAACAGTTTCTCATAATATACAGAGGTTTCATGTATCATACAACATCGATTTCACAACAAGATCCATACGTAACATAATTATTTTGTGGTACAACTCATAACATAACATAATACACGTCAAACAATCACAAAACACAACACATGTAGAGCCCACAGAGCATGCATAGTTCATATTACTCTTTCAGAAAAGGTTCGAACTTATCAGACTTCAAGCCAGATCAGCTAAGACAACTCTACATTAGTAACTGAAAAATAATAAGTAATTACTATTTTGGATGGGAGTCCATATTATAGGCAAATATTTAGATATTTGTCTTTTATCATAAATATCTTTCTATTTACGGCTCTTTCATTTATTATTCTTTCTATATACGAACTTTCAACATTTATCATTTAGGTAAGTGGGTGGTTTTAGCAGTGGGACCCATTACAGTCAGCAATTTGTATAATAAAAGCGGCTGCCTACGTGGTTGAAGACTGCTGCCTACGTGGCTGAATTTGGACCAAATTTGTATGATAAAAGCTGCTGCCTACGTGGTTGAATTTTGACCAATTTTAAGCTGTGGACTGGCCAATAGATTATGTAAATTTTAGGCATTTTTTTAATTTTATTTATTAAAATAAAAAATTAGTCTCTTAAAACTTTTGAATTATTACGTAATAAATATTTTAGAAATTTGATTAAAAATAAAATTTAAATTTATTTAAATTAACGACTTCCCTAAAATATAATTTTGTCTAATAATTTTTTTTTGTTGCAAAAACCGTTTATAAATTTATTTAAATTTAATTTATATAATTTTAAAATTTTAATTTAGCCTTTATATTTGGATTCAATTTAATCTAAAAAATTAATTGATAACGAAGAGCTATAATTTTTATGGAATAAATTAATCAAATATATTAAATTATATTAAATTAGTAAATTTTTAAAGAGATTTTTTTTTATTCGATTTTCATTAATTTAAAAAATTGTAAGCTAGTTTAGAGTAGAAATTGATAAGCTACACACGAGAATTAATTTAAGTCTATTAGTAATAATTAATTGAGCTAATTTAATACATGATTATAATAAAAATGGATAAATGTATTTAAAAGAAAGATAATATCTAAAAAAATAGCCGAGAAATATACGGGTACGATATTATGAAAAAAGTTAGTACTTTTACCAGGGTATCGAATAATCCTTGTCGAGTTTACATAAAGAATGGAATATCTGGTTCTCGTACCCAATGCTCCAGTCCAAGCCTTTATTGTAAAGTTTTTTGAGATGAAGCAAAAGACGGATTGATAAGAACCAAATTAAAATTTTCAAATTCATAGCATAGAAAAAAGATTGAAAATGGACAAAATCGAAACTATTTGAATAATCTGAACGAAAATCTTTTGAGTTTATCCTAATAAAATTATTATTTAGGATGGGATTTATTCTTTGGCAATTTTATTGATTATAACAAACTACATGGTTGGTTTGTAAGAGGTCATAACGTCTCATCCATTGGAGAAGACAACAATTAGACATCAACTAACTAATATCGAACCAATTCGTCTCAGATTGTTACGAGTATGAATGATTAAAGCATGGGATGTCAAATCCCACAAATAGCCTAACCCTAAGCCTAAGTTTTTCGGGCATGAATAATCCAACCATACTACATTTGATTACCTAAGAAATTCATGGAACATTAAATCTATGGTACGTTGATACCAGGTGAACACGACATGGCCCTATAGAGGGGAAGCTTGACCAAAGCAAGAAATACCATCCCAAGAGTCATTTCACCTGTCAAGAGAAGAAAACTATTTTGGTAGCATGGCGTCACAATTGCACTTTTACGGAATTTGCAAGATGATTGTGTACCACTTACTCACACTAACTAGTAAGTTAACCAACTCAAATTCGAGCCATCATTGACATGAACAACATCATTTTTTTTTTTTTTTTAAAAGTCTTCTAAAAGGGACCGAGAGATTTTGAAAAACATTTTGAAAGCCATGTCGTAGAATAACAAACAAATACGAGACAATCATGGTATTGATAGCATATAATTCGATGAGTTAAATCGCTGTATAATACATTAAGTTAGGCCTACGTGACCGTGCAAGTAAACGACAGATTACCTGAAGTGGATGACAGCATCTTGGTTGCTGCAGGGCGGATGATGAGTAGGAATGTCTGCCACTCCTTTTTCAGCTTACTCATTCAAATAGCAAAGATAATCAAATATGTTGAGAATCATTCAGCAATATAATCTCAGGGAATCACAAAGGGGAACACATTAGAACATTAAGATATGTATGATAGACCATAAATAGGAGTTTGCTGGCAAATACATCACACCAAAAGATGAAACCATGGAAGTATGGAATGAAGTAAATTATCAAAAAAGTCATACCGAAAATAAAAGCGTCATTCTGTCACTTCTCCTAACTTTCCCGACGTGTTATTACCTCCACTTGTGGAAGTTTAGTTCCTCCTTATGTATTGGGATTGATCGATCTAAGATCAAACAGATGTTCGGCGGTAACATAGGCTGTGGAAAGGTCTTGAACTCTTTGTTCGTAGAGTTTGGTTTTC